ACACACACACTCACACACAAACAAGCAGGTGTCTTACACTGCTGATGCGTTTGTCTTTAATGTGTAGAAGCTGTTGTTGTGCCAGCTGCATATGCAAGAGGTTCTGGAGGACTAGTCCATTACCGAGCATAGCATTCTGCAAGGTAAAGCAAAAAAAGACATTATTGTAAAAAACAGACACACACACACTAATAACAATGCCACATGCCGATGTTGAGGTTATTGTGACCTGGTGTGCTTTTCCCAGTGTGAGCAGAGCTGTGGTGAGAGGAGGTCTGAGGAACGGCAGGCTGGTGTGACGCCCATACTTCCCTAAAAACACAAACAACACAGAAACATCAATCACTGCTTCTCTTTGTGATTTTCTTTTATAAATTCCACTAATGCATTAATCAATCATCTTCTCAACCGGCATACACAGGCAAAATTATTAGTCAGACGACCAATCCATCAGTCAAACAATCACACAGCCTTCTGGTTTATAACAAGCACCAATACAGCAATACTGTGAATTGTGATATTATGCCAGCACAAAGTAAATTGCCTCTCTCATAACTTTAACTTTTTCCAAGCTTAAATTTCATTTTAGTGTTGAGGACATAGTTGAAAAAAAGCTCAAACAAACAAAAAAACCAATACAGAAAAGAAAAGCAGAAAAATGCAAAATGAGTGCTTCTTCAAACAGTATTTATTTTGTACTGTACTGAAAGTTTCCTCAACAAACAGTAGAAACAGCCACTCACTGGTTGTTTTTCCCAATTCAGGAAGTATCTGTCTATATCTGTAAAATGCTTTTATTATTACAATTATGAATTGTGTGGATGTACTGATGAGGCAGTTAAAAATTGAAATATCATCCCTGTTATGTACAGAACTATTTTGCATTCATAGAAATGACAGCCGTGGTGCTGAAAGGAGGGGAATGATAATTTGATCACCAAAAGGTAAAATGACGCTCAACATTTCCTCTCTTTGTATTCTACCACCATCAGTTTCATTTGTGTGTTCTGTCGCTATAGCAACCACTACTGCCTCAGTTTAACTGGCATTGTTACGTCCACCATTTTGTCAGATCTATCAAAAGTCAAAGACTTGACAGGCATGTTTTATCTACTCCTCAAATGCCTTTGTTGTAGCATTATCTGTTTTTTGTGTTCACTGCTAACATTAGCGTATATTCTCAGTCAATTCAATAGGTAAAGTTAGCTGTTATACGAGCTGCTACTGGCTAATATTTTCCTAATACAACAAATAATTTGTTAGGCTAACTGCTATGTATTTTAGTCTTGATATTTTTATTCATGAGGGCTCTTTGTGTATGTTAACTAGATTAATGTGTTGTACTTCCTACAGTGGTGGAATAAGTACTCAGATCTTTTACTTAAAAGGTCCAGTGTGTAACATTTAAGAGGATCTATTGGCAGAACTGGAATATAATATATATAATAAAATATTCTGAAAAAATGATTTGTTGTGTTAGAATGAGCTGTTTCTATATACAGTGGGAGCGTGTCCTCTTCCACGGAGGCCGGCATGTTTCTACAGTATCCCAGAGTGGACAAACCAAACACTGCCTCTAGATGGAGTTCACAGCCACAGTAGATTCTCCTACACGCTTGAAAGGCTGAGCAGTTTTCAAACGGTTGCAATCTGCAACTTCACCACAAGTTGCCACTAAATCCTACACACTGGTCCTTTAAATAAAAGTAGCAATAGACCAATAATTGTTGTCTTTTCTTCCAAAACAAGTAATGAATAAACAACAGTTTCTTTCTGCTGTTCATACTGATCAAGTGTTGGGTAAGAATAAGTACAGCCAAATTGTTGTTTATACAACTATTTCAACACCCTGTGTGGCTTTCTTTGTAGTGGTGAATAATTTGAATTAGCAGTCAGATGGTGAAAACTGTGAAAACAATGAAAACAGAATAATAAATTCCCTTGACGGCAACAAGAAGTAACTTTACCTTTAGCGACATTCATTGATTCTTACTAATCTGGTTGGTTTATTTTAAAACTACAGTGTTTGTATAAATGTCCAAGATTTAGCAGGGTTTGCCCACATTCACCAACATTTTCCCTGTTCAGGATTCATATTAGCAAAATTGTCCGCAAGGCATCTCTCACCTTCAGGCGATTGCCACCCTGCACTTACGGTACACACCCCCTTTCTTTGGCCGTGTATGTTACTTCTCTGAATTACAAGGTCTCCTCATAATAAATGTAAGCGTCAATGCTAATGGTAGTTTCCACCAGAATAGGTAGAGAAAGTTTAACATTTAATCAAGGTCCTAATTTTAGACTTTAATTGTGCGTGCTCTTCTTTAAGCGAGCTCCCCCACCTCTCCCATCTTCTCTCCTTCCTGTTCTCATTTGTTCCCCTAATGTCACACGATTTCATTTTAATACCTGATTAGCCATTCATCAAATAATGAAGCCCTCGACAAAGTGATTACAGTATATAGGAGGGCCTAACAGAGGGACAGACTCATACAGAGGGGAATCTTTGATTATTATCAAAGCCCCTCAGGGGTGGAAAGAAAACTCAAAAGGTACGAGTTCAGGACGCTGATTTGTTTTAAAATTTCAAATGTTATTCTTCAAATGTGCAGTGTATATGCAAATGATTTTTGATATGACAATTGATATAATATATTATTTTAAAGTTGAACATTTTTAGCTGCATGTAGCCGCAAACAAAATTGTACAATAAAGAAAAAGGATTTTCAGAGATTCCAGCAGATTGCACTTAAATGCAATACAGTTGCAGAGTGGAAGGAGCTATTTCTAGCTAGTTTTGTAAAAAAGTCCTATTCATTTTTCCATAGACAACATAAAGAAGTTTAATAACTGCATTGGAAAATATCTGGTTCTTTTATAAAAAAGACAAGAGGTACAAACTTGTGTACATAAAACCTTCAAGGAAGAAGTTTACTTCCAACTCCCAAGGTGCATTTTGGCAACAAAAAAAACCGAGGTTGTGTGACCGAGGCTCATGGGTAATGTAGTATTGGGTAATCATGGGTAATGTAGTATTTAAACTTCAACAACGTCTAACATGCATTCTATTTATATTTATCCGAGAGAGTCCTGTGTTGCAGATAGCAACAATTTTTATACAGCTCAGCCTTTCAAAGCATGTAGGAAAAATGTGAAACATCCTATCTAATGCCAGTGTCTGGTTTACTGTCTACTGTAGAAACATGGCAGTTCACTGCAATATCCGTCATCAACTGTCATACCTCCTCTTTTCCCAGTGTGGTACGGTCTCATGAGGATCTGCAGGGCAGCGGGGTTGGTCATACTGGTCAACAGCTGGGCAAGGTTTGGTTCTGGTAGCAGACCTTTCCTATTACTCAGAATCTGGAGAACAAAAAATTGCACAGACATACACAAGTTTGAGAAAGAAAAGTGAGATTGTGTGTGTGTGTGCGCACAGTATGTGTTTTGATCTTGTCATTATAAGTCCCTGATGGCTATAGTAATCATTACACTAGTTTACATCATCGCGATATGTCTGCAATGTCAGCAGAGGGGAATCTATGCAGGAGACAAAAGAAA